GAAGCACCACTATTAATTCACTCCTACAACGGTATGGAAATACCATTGGTAGGTTGTAGCTACGGCTACTAACATAAAAGACTACGGATAAAGTGTACCTAGAATGTCAGTCGATGGTCAATGTTCCCACCAAATTCTGATGGCTTTGATGATATACAACTGATTGTAAATTATCTTCCATCTTAGGTGAAAATGAGCAGTTTGGTAGACACTGCCAGTACACTTGAAGGGTGAATGCTAGAAAGTAAGTTTTATTCTTAAGCCAATCGAATTATCCAAGAGTGTAAATCTGTCCTAGTCAGTCAGTCAGCTACAGCGTAGGACCAGGCACATATATGCATCGGTCCAGGTTGCCATGGACTTCATAGAAGTAGAAAACATTTAGGATTTCATTTAGTGACAGCTACCCCTATAAATAGTATCCACAAAATTTAATTTCTTTCTTATAATCCATTAGTGATGGTGAACTCAACACTAATATTTAAACTATTCAGTATCAGGGATAAGCGCTTCCACATTTAGTTGCAAAAGGAATACTAAAGAGTTGAACCAGCTTGTTGACCATTAATTAAAATATGTATATCGATATCTTAAGATTCTCTTTAATAAGAGTACATAAACATAATAAAAATATATTAGTTCTGTAGGAAAATTCAAGCTACGTGTGTTAACCTATACACAAAAATCCATAAAAATTGTAGAGACTTTGTCTTTATAAAGGTGGTTCCAACTATTTAGTACTGGTGGCTTCACAATCAAAGTAATGCAAAAGAATGTGAATTATTATGATAGACTTCGATTGGACAATGATATGCTGAAGTGAGGGAAGACACGCGTTCCTACTGGATACTCTACAAACTGGGTACAAACAGACTGACACTTTAGTTATAGTTGGATTATGAAGTACACTAAACCACTTTAGTTTCCTATAAGTTTTTATTCGCTATGCAATTGTGATGACATTTACATCGGAAACGGCGAAGCTAATTATGTTCACTGTCGATAACGAACGGATGGTATCTGAATAAGCTGGTGACAATATAATGAGCAGGATCCCGGTATTCAGTTAAGTAGCTGAAGATATCATCTTTTAAAAAATGGACAACAGAAAGGACACGTTTTCCATAATGAGGATCCAATAGAAGACCATATTGTTCGCTGATTGTTGTTCTAAATCACAATATGGGGATTTCTCAAATTATGTTGTAAATGTTGGAAAACAAGACCCATTAGTTGCATGATTTCCAGGAAGCACTAGGTACTTTAGCTTTTGGAAATTGTGTGAGAAAACACAAGCTCCAAATTTTGGGACAAAACTAATCCATTCTGTGGAAATCCCATCCCAGTAAATGCAAGCGAAAATTCAACCATGTATGGGATTTTTCCCGAAATTCAACTGATATTCTTCCAAGTTTAGGACATCTCCCCAGAATTGACCTGAAATTCCAAAAGCATGGGGGTTTTCTCTAGACGATCAATAATTTACCCAGCATTTTCATACAATTTGAGAAAATGCTGTGAACCACAGATAACAAGTCCCAAACTATTTATTAGGCTTAGGCTTTTTGCAGGTGCAGGATTTTTACGGATAATTCCAACTGACTTCGGAAAAATGCTCTGACTTTCCAAAATGAAATTCAAAAATATCAGCTGATTCTGGGTTTTGAACTAATAATAACTTCAGAATATCCCATTAGTTAACATTGGTGATCTGGAAAGAAACACTGTTTCCTAACAACTTTTGTCATTATCAAAGCTTAATTGTTAGCTAATTGCTACAGAGGAGAATTAGCTTCTGCTCATAACGCACTTATCATTTAATACCAATTTCGATACTTTTTTTCATCGAACAAACTGACATCGTCAGATTAATAAACGTAATACAAGTAGCCTTTCTCCTAAACACTTTCCACATCTGAAAATCTGATTATTTACGACGAAAATAGAAGACTGAAGTAATATCAATAGAAATATTTATTGTAATAAATAATTCGTAGAGTGAAGAAATTCTAATGCACATTTAAAGGTACCAGTTCAGACGGGAATGAACAATAATAAATTTAATTCTATCATGTTTGCGAACCGATTTAAAGCTTCGACAGATGACTTCATGTTAGATATCAGTTTGATGGCTACCTGCGTTAAATCTTTAATAGGTACTAATTACAAATAGCACCAGTTTCTCATAAATTATAGTGTACAAACGTAGGTCACAATGTTCCCAAACGTTCACGTGCAAAATTTTCAGCAAATATAAGGTATGTACGAGACTTAGTGTTACTCTTTAACCAACAATGATTTGTGATGATAAAAAAATACAAATGCAACTCGAGACTAAAGTTAAGTATACGGAAGTACTAGGATTATTTTGTGGCAAACAAGTTCAGGTTCACTGGCTCTGCACGATTTACGATGCAGTTAAATATAATGGCTTTAACATGAATAACGAACTTGTGATGAGTTCACTCATAATAACCAGAGTGATTTCTGAGGTTTTCACCAAGAATATACACTAACTATGATTGTGGCCGTTCAAGTTCTGCCAGGAGGTACTTCGTATACCGCAGGAGAATGAATAGTGTGAGAAAGGTGGAGGACAAAAGGATAAAGGAAGTAGGGAGTCGACGATCCAATAGACGCACACAATGCACTTAAGTCAGTAATAACATAGGCCTCAGTTTAAGATAATCCCAGAATCGAAAAATAAAATCGATAGTTCAAACAGAAACATCATAAAGGTGTGAATTTAGCACGGAACTGAATAATTTATGTACATAATTTACTTCTAATCACACATCTGTATTACATTTTTTGAGGAGTACGACTAACTTAATCAATACTTACTGAATAACAATAAACGACTGCGAGGCATTATCCATAGGGCGAACAAAGCATATCACGTCAAAGCACCACCATAAACTCGGCAATTTCTTATTGGTTAACAAAAGACCTATTTCCCTATGGCCTATGGCTTAGAGCCATATGGCCTTGACCATGAATTGTTGACCTAAGTTGTCAGTGCGAGAAATGTGATTGGTTGAATAATGGCTTATTTTTCTAAGGATTCAAGTGGACTAGGCAGAGTTATGTGGCTAGGACAGGGTCGTCTCGTGTCGGTCTGCAAGTCAGTGTATCTATCCTTGTGAAACATGTCTGGTCGTGGTAAAGGTGGTAAGGGTTTGGGCAAAGGAGGAGCGAAGAGACATCGCAAGGTGTTGCGTGACAACATCCAGGGTATCACAAAGCCTGCAATCCGTCGTCTGGCTCGTCGAGGCGGTGTGAAACGCATTTCAGGATTGATCTACGAGGAGACTCGTGGTGTTCTGAAAGTGTTTCTGGAGAACGTGATCCGTGATGCAGTCACCTACACAGAGCACGCCAAGAGGAAGACAGTGACAGCTATGGACGTGGTGTACGCTTTGAAACGCCAAGGTCGTACTTTGTACGGTTTCGGTGGTTAATTCACTAGCATGTGAACAACTGGTGACCTGCAACTGGTCCACACGAGAACGTATCACGGTCCTATTTAGGACCACCACATTGTGATTTGTCTTTGTTCTAACTGTATGGTTGGGCTTTAGGTTTTAAACAATAAATGTTGTGCTACTATGTGTAGTGTTCAGCATTCATATTAGCGTGTGGACACTAGTACGGGTGCTCATTTCTGTATACTGTTTGTGGGGTCGGGCATGATATTTTGATAGAATATCCCATAACTAAAGTAGGATTCAGATTGCTATTGGACTTATTGTGTGGATTTGTCGCGCAGTGTCAGCATCAGGTGGCCATGTACTTGTGAAATGAGTGTCTGTGGAACATACTATCTCTGAATATGCGTTACTATAAAGCATTTCGATTCTAAAGTATGCGGAAGATGCTGAGGTGTGGGAATTGTATGGGGTGTCCGGTTTCGGGCTTGGAGAGGATTTGACTTCAGTGGTTATCATTCCACTGGATGATATACAATACATTATGTTGGGCATAATTGATCTAGTACTTTGATTTTATAGTTGGGAGGTCCTGATTCCGCCTCCAGGCTTACTTGTGCATACGGCATAAGCGGGGAGCCAATCTTATTAAGGCACCATTGCAATATCTTTCGATGTAGGTATAGTTAAACCTCATTTAATAGATTATTCTCTTTATCATTTACTTTGTCTACACTTTTCCACTACAACAGGTTTTTATAAGCAACCGATGGTTACATGGTGTATCTAGCGAGGCAGTAGATAGTTCGGGTCCATGTTCTTTGCTGTGATCATTCGCCGTGTACTGAATGTGAACTGTCAGTATTATTTTCGACCTATTTGAATATATAGAAATTAGTACAATGGGGCATCAGCTATATCGCCATAAAGTGTTACGGATATAGTCCAGTTCTATCTTATCATATACGCGTAAGGTTTGCAGATTATGTATGCTGCTTCAAAACAAGCTTGTGATTAGTATGTGCTTTTTAAGAATTACAAAATTAAGTAGCTTAATATTCACAATGAAGCTACAGGCTTTTAACTCCATAATTTGTACATCTAATAATTAATATCCTGTGATCAATTAATCGCTTTGTGTATTGACTAAACTAGTTGCAGTATTGATAAGATCATGTGCCTGGATAAGTTCTCCCGAAATCGTAAACTTGTTTTCTTTCTAACATTAATTAAGATTAATCAATATTAAGTCAATAAATTCTGTTTAATTACACTACAAATTTTATCCTTGTAATTTGTTGATATAATGTAAACTAGACAATGTAACCAAGTTTTTGAAAGGTATCTTCGTTATTATGACTGTTATTAAAAACAAAATTTCATATTTGTCTAGAACAGATCCAAGTATGACGTTCATATATTCACTATAATAGAGTAACAACATCAATGGTATCGTGAATATAAACAAAGTTTGTACTTTTTTCATGATAATTCAATATTGAAATGAATTCGTGATGTTGAATGTTTACATATAAAACTGATATATATAAATGTATATGTCCATCAAGCTTTATTCACATTTCAATAATGAAACTCATCTTATTATCTGTACTAACTATTTTGTTACTGTTCAATGTAACTGAGTAAGTCACTGGTTTCTTTTTTCTGTAATATTCTATCTATTTCCAATGAAATAAGAACGGAACATTCCCGAGCTCCCAATTTTGGGGAAATGGCACAAAATTTCCCTTGACCTGGGAGAAATTCCCCTTTAACCTTGGTCAAGGTCATTTGACTTTGGGGATTTCCCCAAAATTGGAAGCTCGGGTTTCTATATAATAAATAACTAATTATAGTATTTAATCAGATTATCATCTAAGTTTGTTAAAAGACAATGTATTTGTAATCAAAACCAGAACAACACTACATAATCAATTGTATATTCAACTAGTTACGTAAGAATATGAATTGAATGAGTAAGATTGAAATTAAGCTATAGGCTATAGATATTTAGTATAATAAACAAAATCAATAATAAGTAGTTAATCATATGAATGCATAGAAAGTATAATAATCATATTATTAAGACATTATGTAACTAAGACTAAAATTAGAACGTAAAACTGAATATAGTTGAAAAATTTTTTTTAGGAAGAATAAGCATAATTAAGTAGAACATCATGGTAAGTTAAGGGTTTGTATACAATGATTAGGCTTATTGATATATTTCACTTGTTGAAATCATGAGTCAATTGAAGCTAGACCACCATGGAAAACCTGGAAGCACTGGACGGCCGTTTCGTCCTAGTACGGGACTCCTCAGCAGTACGCATCCACGATCCCGCACCCCGCGAAATTCGAACTCAGGACCTATCAGTCTCGCGCCAGGCGCTTAACCAACTAGACCACTGAGCCGGCATCCAACGGTGTTAATGTCTAACTTCAACCAATCCACTCATACTGATATATTCCTATGAATTCTGTCGTAAGAGATGGATTGTTAGAGAGTTGGTCAATTCGAGATAATTTTATAAATTACTTCGGAAGCTAAATTTATGCAGATATGGTGACTAGTATTAACTAAATAGGGACAGTGAAGAGGTTTTTAATTATTTCCTTTTGTCCATTAGCCAACTATGAGTGATGATTTTCAGAAATACAACTAAGCATTTGGCTTGTGCGCCAAATATAACTGGTTCTGTGGTATCGGTTGAACTGGTAAATAAAAATAAAAGTAGCTGAACAGCTCAATCTTTCTTAAGTAAAATCACTACTGGTTGGCTACAGAAAGAAGGATATAACTTACATCATATCACTGTTTTATTGATTATATCGCCTTTGAACTGTAATTTAAGAGATGGTTTTTTCAATGAAATCTTTTATTTCATTTCTGGCTCTAAATGAGAGTTGGGAAAAAGTATTAATTATCCACCAACGACAAAGTTTATCGTAAAATACTTCCCCTGAATAATCATATTATGTTTTTGTAGACTTATCAAAACAGTATTACTGAAACTGCATAAATAACTATCTCCCTCCATTTGTGCTCTGATTGCTTTATATTTTCAGGAAACACTACAAAATCGTAGGCTGTAATAGTATACTGTATGAACAGCTTACTTATTAAAATGTTAACTAAATAGACAGTAGTTTAAATTTGTTATTTTGTGTACGTTAATGATCATTTCGACAGTTTAACGATATCAAGTGAATCTTCATAACAAAAATGAAAAGAAAACATTAGTTATAAACATAACCTATCAAGTAATGAGGATAGATAGTAACCAATTATAATAATAGACGGTTTCATTGATTGGAGCTTGTTCAGTAGGTATATATCCATTAACTTCACAATCCAGTACTCAAGATATTTTGATTTCTCACTCTTCGACATTGTTACGTATTAAAAAAATACACATAGTACTAACAGTTGAGGCTATTCTCAACGTTCTCAGTGTTCAACAAGTGTTTTTATTCACAAATTTCAGTTATATTTTTGTTTATTTGAGAAGTGAGTGCTGAATATTGGACTGTAATTTTCACTAAAGATTTCATTTCAAGCATATAGATTTATCTACAGCCGTCTGTGATGAACAAGATATTATCGCACGATTCAAGATAAAATGCACAAATATGGAGAAACTCATGGTTGGAAACGGAATTTTTAATGAAAGTTACACTTTAATATTCAGCACACATCCAATAAATGACGTGCAAAATATCCGGAATCGTTGAGTAAAACGGACTCATCAAACATTGAAAAAGGTTGTGGGTGACCTTAATCGTACTCACTGATTTTCAGTGGTTCTTTCATCGATATTAGTTAGTTAAAGATTAGATCTTTTTTTGGTTTATCATAAACTACTAATATTAGAAGATAACTATATTAGGAAAAATAATCTGTAAAGTAGCCCATTAATAAACAGGAAATTTGGTAACCACCAAATAAAATGATTTAATTATCAAACGGAATTTTTTTTAGTCATTCATATCGCTGGAAACAAACATTGTTACTAGAATACCTAAAGTTTATACAAAGAATAAAATGGATTAGATCTAACACTCACTATGTAATTTTTACCTCTGCTAACAAAAGATCAAAAACTACATTATATTAGATAAGATAAATAAACTAGTCGTTTTTAAAGAAGATTGAAAATGAAGTATATCTACATCCAACTAAACTTAATATCCCCTTATTAGTTATATTATTATCATTCAGTATAAACCTTAGCTATGTTGGATCCAATGAAAAAATTATCTAATATTAGTTATAGATTCATTCTTTTAGGTTAATTTATTTAAACCACTGATAACTTCCAAGATAGTTTCATTTTATGATAAATGAATATTAGTTGGATAAGTAATAATAATAATCACAGAACATTTGACCGGTAATTAGTCTCATTTATAAACTAATTAAGAATATTAGTCGCCCCCAAATGCCCTGGTACGGCCGAGAGTGGGGAGAGTCCGCTCTCCCTCTCGAAATGCTCTCACATGGCGACATCTATATAGCGTCTGCCAGGTAAGTCCTACTCACTGTCTTCTCGTCGCGGGGGTGTTGTTTACGAAGTAGAGGGGACGAAAAGCGAATGTCCCGCGCTTTAACCGGATCCCAAACCAAACCATTGGTGCACATGGGCTCCAGTATCCTGCGGGAACAAATGGCGTATGAACCAATTGTTCGTCACCAGCTTCCATGGGACTGCCTCTCCTCACGATGCTCCACAGCCTTGTGGATCAGACCTTAAGGTCAAAGGCTCGGGGTGTGACCCCCTACGAAAACCACCTGTTTCTGTTTGAGTACCCGGGCGGTATTACAGCCCTCACATATATCGAATGAGATTTGTGTGGCGCATATGTATTTGGTGCATCCTTGTACCAATATCTATATGTTAAAATAAATAATAAGAAGAATATTAGTCAATGGCCTTAATTCTTATAATAATAAAAAAGGCTAAACACTACTGGACTCTACAACTGGTATCTTTAAAATCATTCAAAATAAGCTCTAATAAGAATGAACACCGTAAGTTTATTATTATTTGAACACATGAATATTGGTACAAGAGAGCGCCAATATATATGCGCCACACAAAACAATGAGAATTCGAAGAGAAGTAGAAAAAAAAACTAAGGAGCGCAAAAGAAAAAGAGAACAATGACGAAGAGATTGGTGTAAGGTAGTGTGGTAGTAACGACGGAACGAAAAGGTACAATCAGAAGAAATCTTTCAGGTAAAGGAGACACAACCACTTTTTATGAAGAAAGTAAAAGAAGGTTACAGCAGGATCGCCACTGGCTTCTATTCTGAGCCATATCTGATAACGTCTCTAGCCACTGTGTAGCACCATCTCTCGGACCCCAACCAGGGAGTCGTGAAGGACCAACACAAGCCAGTCCTTTGCAGCTTTCTTTCATGCCACGACACCATGTCATGCACTGACCACCTCTCCGCTTTTTCCAACCAGTCCCAGAGTCGGCAAATAATGCACGACGTGGAATTCTCTGGGACGACATTCGGAGAACATGTCCAAGCCACCGAAGTCGGTGTTTCAAGATGGTGACACCAATTGAGTTATCATCTCTGTGCCCGAACACACGATGCCGAACCTCTGCATTACTGACATGGTGTTGCCACTGAATGTCAGCAATCCTTCGGAGACAGCGATGATCGAACACAGAGAGTCGTCTAACGTCCTCAACTCGGAGAGGCCAGGTTTCACAAGCATAGAGCAAAACTGCTCTCACCGACGCGTTGTAGATCCGACCTTTTACAGCCAGACTAACATCACGAAGGCGCCAAAGGTGGCCCAGATTGGCATAAGCCGCTCTGGCTTTCACTATTCGTGCATTGATCTCATCACTCACACCCCCACCAGCACTTATGCAGCTACCCAGATACACGAACTTCTCAACTACGTCTATCTGCTCACCATCCAGGGTGAGTACAGGATTAGAATCCTGCCAGTCTTGTAGAAGTACTTTGCACTTCGAAGGTGCAAAGCACATACCATACCTACGGACACTGATTGCCAACTGATTAAGTGCGGATTGCATGCCTTGGGCATTATCGCACAGTAAGACAATATCGTCCGCATACTCAAGGTCGAGAAGTCTTTCTCCAGGCAACAGATCCACACCACCATTACTTACATTCATCAGAGCTGTTTCCAGAATGTCATCGATGGCAAAGTTGAAGAGGAATGGTGAGATTGGGCAACCCTGCCTAACCCCACTGCTCGAATGGAACAATGGAGAGAGGTGGTTGTATGCCCTCACTCTGCCTGAGGTGTTTTTATATAGGGCTTTTAGGATGTTAATAAACTTCTCAGGCACACCCTTCTTCAATAGACAATCCCAGAGAACAGTCCTGTCCAACGAATCGAAGGCAGCCCTGATGTCAAGAAACACTACGATTGTTGGCCTTTGAAAAGTATGGCGGTGTTCTAACATTTGGCGGAGGGTGAAGATATGATCAATACATCCTCGACCAGAACGAAACCCAGCCTGCTCCTCGCGAGTCAATCTTTCTCGGGTTTTGAACAACCTACGAAGAATGACGGAAGCCAATAGCTTGGACGCAATCGGAAGTAAACTTATCCCCCGATAGTTGTTACAGGAACGACGTGAACCCTTTTTAAAGATAGGGACAACTATCGACTCATTCCATGACGTTGGTACACACTCTAGTTCCCAAACCTTTGTAAACAACGTCGTCAATTCCTTAGTCAAAAAGTCACCACCATCTTTAAAAAGAGCCGGAGGTAAGTCATCTGGGCCAGGTGATTTGTAACGCTTCAAGAGTTGGAGTTCCTTGCGGACTTCCTCCTCGTTTGGTGGATCAGTCGTCACCGGCCATGGAGGGCAGGACAGTCTGACCGATGTTGCCGGAGCAGCAGGCCAGTTGAACTGCCCTTCGAAAAATTCTGCCCATCGTCCAAGACGTCGATGGATGTTAGTGATTGGCATCCCATCATCCTCGCAGATTGTTTCACTCACACCAGACTTCTTGCTGCCAGTGGCTCGGATGAGCTGGAAGAGCTTCCGGTAGTTACCAGATGCAGCTGCTGCTTCCAGCTCATTAGCACGCATCGACCACCAGGCTTCTCGGTCCTTACGCAAGCTTTGCCCAATTTCCTTACGTAACATCCTTCGTTTATGGTCAAACTCACGGTCACCCGGAGTAGACCGACGGGCTTCAATGAGTTGTAAGGAACCAGAAGAAACCCAGTGCTTAAAAGCGGGACGTTTCGCAAACCCACAACTGACTGTTCCCGCCATTTTCATGGCGTCATGCAATTGCAACCAATGCTCATCTATACTTTTCGGTGGAGTGGTAGCTAGCCTAGAGGCTAGCTCGGTTCGATACTTACTTGCAACAGAAGTTGCAACCAGCTTGCTAACATCAATCCGTTGATGGCGGTCACTTCGTTGTCCACTGAAAAGTAAGGCAAGATTGGCGCAGACCAAGGCATGGTCAGAGTCCAGATAGGTACTCCAAAAGGAGCGGCAGTCTTGTACACAACCACGCCAGCGGTAGCTGATCGCGATGTGATCAATCTGAGTCCAGGCTTGAGATGCAGAGGGAGGACGCCAGGTGGCACATCGGCGATGACTGTGCCGAAAGTTAGTGCTAGCCAGAAACAGGTTGTGGTCTGTGCAAAGTTGCAGTAGACGGTCCCCGTTATCTGACCTGCGACCAACGAGTCCCCATCGGCCACCTAAACGACTCTCTTCTGTGCCTAGACGCCCGACCTGAGCATTCAAGTCTCCGGCTAGTACTACAATATCTGTCGAACGCACTTTCTGGAGAAGAACTGATAACTGGTGGTAAAACTCATCCTTGATTGCATCCGGGCTGCAATCTGTCGGGGCATAGGCGGAGATGACGAAAAGACATCGTTTCTCACGCCGATTTCTTCTCACTTTGATGGAACTTTCTAATCTAACAGCACATAACCGACTGTTAATGGGGATCCAATCGACTAGTGCTGCCTCAGCTCTAGCGCTTAGTGCGACACCAACGCCAGCAAGACCAGACGAAGATGCCACAGGGTCCCCGGATAAGCGCACGTAAAACAAGCTTTTCGAAGCGACAGATGGAGATCGAATTTGTAGTACTTCGCCAGAGTCTTGAATACGGGTCTCGGATAGACAAAAACGTCGATATTAAGACTTTCCAAAGACATAGCCAGCCCTATCTGTTGTCCGACCTGCATAAATGTGCGAACGTTGAAGGCAGCCAGTTTGAATGGTGCACGTGGTTTCAGAAAATCTGCTTCAGTCCTCGTATTCGGTGGTAACATACAATTTTCAACCGGACAGTGACTCGAGAACGTTTAGATACAGTCGGATTTCCACCAAAGACGAGCCGCTGTATAAGTATAAAAGAGGGTGAATAATGTGGAAAATAATAATAATAATGACAATAATAGTAGTAATAATAATAATAGTATTAATAATGACAATAATTGTAATGATAATAATCTGAATCAATTGTTTGTTTTTCAAAGCGAGAAAGGTAATTTCCATAGGCATAAAGAGTTCATCATTTGTGTGTGGGCTGTGATACTGCCCGGGTGCCCAAACCGAAGCAGGTGGTTATCTTAGGGGGCCACTCCCCGAGCCTTTGACCTAAAGGTCTAACCCACAAGGCAGTGGAGCATCGTAAGGAGATGCAGTCCCATGGTAGCCGGTGACCAACGATTGGTTCATACGCCATTCGTTCCCGCAGGATACTGGAGCCCATGTGCACCATTGATTTGGAATCCGGTTAAAGCGCCGGACATTCGCTTTTCGTCCTCTCATTTTCGTAAACAACACCCCCGCCACGAGAAGGCAATGAGTAGGACTTCCCTGGCAGAGGCTGTATACGCGTGGCCGTGTGAGAGTATTTCGAGAGGGAGAGCGGACTCTCCCCACTCTCGGCCGTACCAGGGCATTCAGGGGGCACCGTAAGTACAAATATAATTAGAATAATAAATTAATAGTACATAACTATGACATCTCCAGTTAGGAGATTTGTGAAATTTATAACAGCAGTTTAATAAATATCAAGAAGGATCAACATCATAGATTGATGAATAGTCAAAACGAAGTTTAGTGATAACTCTTTATAGTTCGGTTAAACTTCAGTACCATCTAAATTGTTTCTTCAATCATTTGAAACAACCAATCAAATAGTAAATTAAAACTTAGTTATAAAAAATGCAGAGTTTAAACATAATGGTATTAAAACATGAAGATAGATGATCTAATATTCAACAGAGATGGAAAGATTTAGACAGTAAAACATAAAATAGAACATATAAGTTATATACAGCATTTATTTGGTGAATAGGTAAAGTTTATTCAATATTAATTACCTCATCAGTTATAGTCGTATAAAGAAATGACTGATTAGGTCAAAACCTATTTATATAGTACATAACAAATTAGAATTAGCTTGGAAATAAAAATGATCACTATGGTAAATAGAAATCATGGCTCTTCAATTCCATTACAGATTCTAAAATAAAATGAGATAACTAACCTAAACTCTATAACTTTCAATAATTTTCAATGGAAGTGAATTTCATAGACAAAGATTTTTCATTGTTTCTAATGCTTTCGAACTTCTTTCTTTCTTTTTCTAGATCCAAATCTAGTCAACAGGAACTAGTAAGTTAATTGTAAAATAATCGATCTTTAATTAATTAATCATCATTAATAATCATATTTATAGATTATTGAAAGTGTCAAATTATGGAATTCAATTAAAGAACTTTGGAAGAGATTTGAACATAAGTGTCAAGATAAAATTCGAAAATATCTTGAGGAAGATGATTTAGGGGAAAAAATAGCCGCTGTTTTACAAATTTGTACGTATTCTTCAAAAAAATATTCACTATATTCATTTAATCTTTTTTTCATCTGTTTAGATGTCAAACGTTTAAACAGGCGTTTAGATATGCGTTTATCAATAGACAGACAAGAATAAACATTTATCATAGCTAAAAATATCTCAATATTCAATGAAGAAGAAGAACACCATTGTAATGAATTTTAATTCAATAAAGTAGCTGAAAACTAATTCGTTGTTTGATTATAAGATAGATAATCATTGTACATGAGTGTCTAAAATATTTTTTGGAAGAAGGAATGAATACATTTGGTCATATCATTACTATCTCTTAGTTTGAATGTTATATGAATTTCTCTCTTCAGCGGAAACAAAAGCTCACTTGAAGGTGCACATTTACGCTTGACAGATTTAACACTTAGGCCTGTTACCCTTCGTTGAGAATGGGCTTCCGACCTACTCCATCCTGAACTCTCCTTTCTAGTTGTTTCCAAGTGCTGTTCATCTTTTAATTTCTACCTCCGATTCCCGAATTAATTTATTTTCCGACCTGCCTCTTTTTCCTTTGCCTTAAGGATTCCAAGTTATGACTTGCTTCGTGACCCAATTTATTATCGTTACTATTATTATTGCTGCCATTATTATTATTATTATTATTATTATTATTATTATTATTAATGACTGATCAGTTTGGTGATTTCCTCAGTGAATGTCCTATCCATCTCCAGCGTCTTTCCCTAATTACCTATTAATATGGAAGGTAATTTATTCTCTTCCATAGTAGTGTGTTGACAATGGTTTCCGGTCAACGGACATTGAGTATCTTACGTAGACAATTCTTTATAAATATATGTACTTGTTTGATGGTCGTTGTGGTAGTTCTCCAAGTTTTAGCGCCGTACAGTAAGACTATCTTGACGTTCGCATTGAAGATTCTGACTTTGATATTGGTTGAGAGTTGTTTTGAATTCTATATGTTCTCCAAGTGTAGGAATGCTGTTCTTGCTTTGCCAATCCTCGCCTTTACGTCTGCATCAGATTCTCCTTGTTTATCGATGATGCTGTCCAGGTAAGTGAACGTTTCCTCCTCTTCTAGCGTTTAACCAACATATGTTATTGGGTTGGTTGGTGTTCTCCGTGTTGTACATGAGGATCTTGCTTAGTTACTTACTTACTTCCCACTCTATTAATGCATTTTGTACTTCATTGGGCGGCATCAGTGTAGTTCCCTGTATGTGCTGAGCATTTTCCTCTTCAAGACAAGAGTACAGCAACATCTCTCCCGTACCTAATCTTTGCTGTCCAGCTTGGGTCTAATCGGTTCGATTCCAAGCACTGCCAAGTCGTATCTCCTCATTTCCGCAGTTATTTGACTGGTTCTCCCAGTTCCGCACACTGTCCAGATACTCCATGTACCTATATTAATTGTTGCTCTGGTTGTTAGAATGGTTATAGACCTCATGACTACCAAAGGATTTCGATTTTCATCCTTAGGCATCATATCTCTTCTTTCAAATCCCAGGGCAGAGTTTAAATGGTTTAATTTGTTTAATCTGGTTGGCAATTTTTTAACATGGTTGTTATCTTTGGGATGTGGTTTCTGACCGTATGTTCAACCCTCTTTCTTCACATGGGCTTGCGACCAGAAGTACCCATAAAAGAGATGCAGGTGGTGTTGTGAATTATACACATGGTGGGATATTTCTTGAAACACCTAGTTGATATCACTCAAGAGGTTACTCACTCAATAAATTAATTCAGTATCTGGTAACCGATTACGATGTTGAAAACTATTGTCTAATAATTGTCAATTAGAGCTATAGATATTGGAGATGTGTGATTATGAATTAATAAATTGATCAAATATTTTATATCATTATTAGAATAATAAGTTAATGGTTATCCGGTCTCAGTAGTTTCGTGGGTTAACTGTTATTGTATGTTTTGAAATGTGTTAACTTCGAATCTCTATGTGAACACAAACAGTTGAATATGCATAAATGCAAATGACAAGTCCCAGATTGAGTGAATCGCATGACATGGATTTCATTGCTAGCGGAGATCTACCTTATATGTATAACCAAATAGTAATCAAAGAACCGTGAATTTGAATATCAGGTTTGACGGCGAAATCAATGCACCAATGAAAGGAGTTGTAGTGGGTTTGTTATTAGGTCTCATACAAACTGGCATTTTCCTAGCTAAACTAGGACACAGTCTATTTCATCAGTTTATTCAGAAATTCCCATTTCGTTGTCGATATATGGACGACATGTTGTTCCACTTTAAAGATAGCACATTACAACTAGAGGTTTTGAAGAAATTGAAAATGATGTACACATAGCAATTAAGTTTACACCTGAAGTAGAATAACCTTTTTCGATGTTCTGTTAACAGAAAGTGTCGATGGGTCAATAATAAGGAATTTAAACATGAAAAGTACCTGTACATACAAATGAACACATTTCGTTAGCTTTGTAAGCTTTTAGTACACTGGAAACCAAATAAAAACTATTAGTTATTGAATACGAATGTACTTGAGTAGAAACAAAACGATTTGCGTATACTGCTCGGGAAAACAGATACCCTGGGAAGTTTACAAACAAAAATACATCCACGAATCTTAGGATAGACGAAGTACAAACAGTTAGTGGGCAGTTCTCTTTCATTTGTCAAGAGTTCAGAGGTGATGCACACAGTGAAATACTAATCGAGAGATCACGTCAAACAATCAGAAGAGCATCTAACACCGGAAAATTAAAACTAGTCTACTTCACATGACCAATAACTACGTCGAGGTTAAAAGTCCAATCATCTAGAATAGTCATCTCATTTCGTATTGATCAATTCGACTACTGCTGTGAAACCAGTTACATTGATCGAAGTTCTGAGAACTTACATTTACGTACTCATGAACACATTTCAGTGTGACTAAACAAACATGTAGTCAAGACAACAAATAATTTCATAATTCCAATCGTTGAGATCATGAGTCAATTGAAGTTAGACCACCATGGAATACCTGGAAGCACTGGACGGCCGTTTCATCTTATTGTTGGACTCCTCACCACTACACATCCACGATCCGGCCTAGCGGCATATCGAACCTAGGATCTGTCGATCACTCACACGAACAATTATCCTCTAGACCACTGAGCCGACATCCAATCCTGTTAATGTAGAATTTCAACTAATTCACGAAATTGAGCGACACATCCACAATTGTCTTCAGTGAGTTATTATCTCACCACTGACACAGTTGAACTCCACTGGTCAATGCTTCTCATCAGGACTCAACAAAATACTTATTGAAGCCAATCACTAGTCATTTGGTTATAATTACAACATATAAATTAAGATTTCTTAATAAGAAAATAGAGTTCATATCAAAATTACTAGTACATCATGTTAACTTGAATAATTTTATACTTACATTGATCAGAACAGATAAATATAGTATAAGAGATTTAAAATAACAGATCGAATCACATATTTATCAAAGATCACATCATATTGAAAATGATATGAATTGAGTAAAGAACAAAAAACTAGTAGTAAAGTTGGTTAAGTACCAATTAAATCCTTTATGTGTTTACAACATCACTAATGATAATACAAGCAAACATAAACCTTATTAGCATAACTATTTGAATATGATAAATTGAATATAAATGTGAATAATCGCAAATCGACAAACGAATTAATAGAAGACATTGAATGTAAACATTATGTAATTGAAGTAATTTCATCGATTGAAAGTTAAATAATGCCGACATTTCATCTATTGCTTATAAACAAACACTACTATATATGGAATACAGTAGTTATGTCATGGTAATTATGGATTAGAAAAAAGTGAAAAATAAAAAAAACAGAATCTGTAACATGTACTACCTGGAGATTGATACCGATAGCAATCGATGCGTATTTAGTCATCTATGTTCTTGATTCATTTATGATTCATATTAATCTAATTTAATTCTACCACTACAATTAAATATGTTAATCATCTGAAACTATGGATACGTGGAATGGTTGATGTTAGTTAAATGTGCTTTCACATTTATCATAAACAGAAACAATCAATTGGCCTTGAACATAGACAAAGACATCACTTACTCAGTGTTTTCTAGTAACAATAACATACAGATACATGAACACACACACACACATTCTTTAAATGGTGGACAATGTTCCACATCAAATCGTCCCTTGACTTCACTGTGAACAAGACGAACGTCATTGGACAATGTTTTCGTATGATTTTTTCTTTTCAACCACATATTTTCTTTGATAATGTTGATTTAGATCATATTCCTTAGTGAAACATTTCGGATTGGTATGACGGACAAATCGATAGGATTATTTTAGTTTGAATCCCTGAGATTATTCAAACACAATTTTTACATTTAACATAAATCGGAGTTATCCCAACACGAAGGGGAAGGTTACTTACTTACTTACCTACGCCTGTTACTCCCAATGGAGCATACGTCACCGACCAGCATCTCCAACCCACTCTGTCCTGGGCCTTCTTTTCTAGTTCCATACAATTCTTGCTCATTTTTCTCATGTATATCTCCATTTCTCGGTGTAATGTGTCCTTTGATCTTCCTCTTCTCCTTTCGCCTTCACGATTCCATGTGAGGGCTTGTCTTGTGATGAAGTTGGGCGCTTTCCTCAAAGTGTTTCCTATGCACTTCCAGCACTTCTTGATTTCTTCCTCCGCTGAGATCTGGTTTGTTCTCTCCCACGGCTGGTTGTTGCTAATGGTGCCCGGCCAACGGATCTGAAGTATTTTGCGTAGACAACTGTTAATAAACACCTGTATTTTCTGGATGATGGCTTTCGTAGTTCTCCAGGTTTTTGCCCCATACAGTAGAACTGTCTTGACATTTGTATTGAAAATCCTGACCTTGGTGTTGGTTGACAGTTGCTTTGAATTCCAGATGTTCCTCAGTTGTAAATATGCTGCTCTTGCTTTGCCGATCCGCGCCTTCACATCTGCATCAGATCCACCGTGTTCATCAATGATGCTGCCCAAATATGTAAAGGTTTTTACATCTTCCAAATCCTCTCCGTCAATTGTGATTGGATTGGTGCATGCTGTGTTGTATCGGGGAATCCTGCTTTTCCCTTTGTGTATATTGAGACCTACTGCTGCTGAGGTTGCAGCCACACTGTTCGTCTTCTCCTGCATTTGTTGTTGCGTTTGGGATAGAA